TATTTATGTCAATAACATATAGTAATGTAAATTTAGATATTGCAATACAACTTATAAAGGTTTTGTGCATTAATTGCTTGTAATGTTCATAAATTCATTGTCTACTACCAATTACAACTATAAGAAATAAGGTATCAAAATTAATAATATAGCATATTTAAAAATTTGCATGGATTTTATGTTTCCCCTGAACAGGGCTTGAATTATGTTATATGATAAAATAAAGACAACTTTTATTGTCCAATATTACACTGAAAATTTGTTTCACTTTTACAATATGATGATGCTTTTATTAAAATAACATAAAGTACATATGCACTTATAAAACATTCCAATACAATTTTCAAAAATTTTATGCTTTAACTGTTTTTAACCTGTATTAATGTAATTCATTTCCTATTACCAAAATAACTATATAAAATAAGATATCAATTTAACCAATACCATAATTTAATTTGAATTTGCATGTCTTTTGAATTTTTTGCTACCTTTGTGCAGAGTTTGTATAATGTTATTATTGATCAAAGGTTCGAAAAATATGGTCCAAGGAGGAGGAAATACCCAAGAAATTTGAAAATGTAAATGCCATCTTGCAAAAGTTCTGAAGTGGTATTAGGGAGCTTTTGTTTGCACGACGACAGTAGGACTTAGACAGTAATGACGTCACTAAAGAGTCATTTGCACATTTGAGAACGTTGAGTTTTTGTTGTTGTCTGGATCTGTAAGACGCAGTTTGGCCCGAATATATGTTGTGCAGAGAACATAGGATGGTCATAGATGAGTGAATCCGTTCTAGCATATTGTTGGTGCACGAATCAAAAGTATGCCACTTGGGCCCCTCCTCACTCATCTGTGATCAACTCTTAAGTTCTGCACTATAAAATTTAATATGACAAATTAGTGTAATGTGGCCATATATGGGCATGAGGATGTCATATTACACCCAAATATGGGCATATCACATTTATTTGAGGACAAAGCTTACACATTCCGCATCAGGCAAAGAATGAACACATGAATAATTGGTCTACCAAAGTACATACAATATGGCTTCCAATCTGTTTTAATGCTTTATGATGCTATTTAAATATAAAGTAGTTTGCAAATTAGTTTAAGTAATCGGTATTTCTTAAATAATCTATTTCTCATGAAAATGGTAATGTATTTACTCTTTGTATGGCAATAGAAATAAATAACCTGCAAAAAAAAATATAATACCATGTATTTTTTGTTTATAAAACAAGACACAAAGTACAGTTCGCCTCCATTTCAATAACACCTTTATGACCTCAACATTTAGGGTTGTCTCAAGGTTTGGTCTCTAATTAGAGGAGTTAGCTTGTTTTAGAAGATTGAAGACTGTTCTTTTGTTCTTTGAAGGAGGAGCCTCGGAATTAGAGGGTGCACTCAAATTGGAGTGGGCACTGTAATTCAATGGGTCAGGATAACTAATGTTAAATAGAAAATTAATTTTAAAGCAGTATATCTTAAATCTTTCATACATATTGATTATTCAATTTTGGTAGGATATTTTATATGGAAAAATCTGGAGTTGTTTCAATCCCCTTTTGAATCAATCATGAGCCGACTATGTCTCCGCTATATATTTAAACGTCTGTGATTCAATCTTTGCAACACCACAGAGACTTTTTTACATTTGTTTTCCGAGCAGGTCGTCTGCTGATTTAAAATAAATATAAGACTTAATAGTTGACTGTTACAGCACAAATTTAAAGAAAAGCATTTTTTTTTATGCCATCCGCTGACAAGAAATCTTCCAATAAATCTTTATTTCTTCCTCATAATTACATAAACAGCATGTTATAATCCGATTTCAGAACTGTTTTTCGGCAGCATTTTTTCGACCATGCAATAAAATTCAAGAGAGGGCGCTTATATATGGGTGCTATTCCTTTGTTTTATTACACCACATATTTATTATTTTATCACTTAGATACTTTTCACAAACCCATTGTGGTAAACGAGAAGACAAAATTTTATATTTTTTGTCATTTTTTTACGCTCATCTGATGATTTATCAAATACACAGTTCATAAACAAGGAATAAAGAAGTCTCGCCTTGGTTTTAGCAGCACAGTCACATTCATCTGTTATTTCACCAAAAAAAAGCTTCAACATCCAACATCAGGTTTTTGAATACTGTAAAGAAACAAAGAATAGATATCAGACTCTATCTGTCCACATTATCAAATTTCCTTGGACAAAAAACGCACATATACATACATACAGTTAAACTTGCCTAAGTCGACTGTGCCTAAGTTGAATCTTATTTTACATGCCAAATGTTGTTTTCTATTAACAATCTGTAAGTCAAATTTTATATATATATATATATAATATATATATATATATGATCA